AAGGATGGCCCAGCACAGAAGATCAACATCATCAGGCCAGGACTCTGCGGTCTACACTCATCTCCAGGCCAACGGTCACTCTTTCAAGGATGAAGATGTTCACATCCTGGACAGAGAGGACCGATGGTTTGAGAGAGGAGTAAAGGAGGCCATCTTTGTGAAAAGAAACCGTCCATCATTAAACAGGGGTGGAGGCCTCCGGGTTCAACTGTCCCCCTCTTACAATGCTGTGATTGCTAGTATCACTCAGCCCTCTGTGAACAGTAAACAGCCATCAGTGTGTTAATGACCCATTGTTAGGCTGATGGTCCTTCTTGAGCATGTGATCAGCTGGTTCTGGTTGTCAGCAGCAAAACTGGTTGATCCACTCTGAGACGGTGCTATTTAAGAGACTGAGCTGAATACAGCACCTCAGACTGAGGAAGTCTCTTGGATGAGAGACGAAACGTTTCTACATTATTTTTTTTTGCTTTGTTTTGTTTTCTGTTTTTTTTGAATGTCCAGAGGACCAGATTGAACTTTCTTGGATTTTTCTACCTGGATTATTGAGCATGCATCAGGATATTTTTTTGTTTAGTTTTTTATTTAAGCAATTTAAACCATGACAGGAACGTTACTGTCTAAAGGGAAGGAAACAATTGCTCAATAAATTAGTAAAATGCAACTTGTTATGTTTGGGTTCTTTCATCTAAGGTAGACATGGTGTGACCCATGCACTGGTTTAGATTTTTTGTTTTTACTGTAACTGACCTTCAAAAAAGCCAGAAACAGGGACTCAGCAGCTGATCCTCCGTAGAAAAACTATAAGGACTACAGGCCATGGATTTGTTTTGTGACTTTAGTGAAGGTTTTTGTTTGAATTAAGGCAATAAATGCCTCCATATTTCACCACAGATTAACTCTTCCTGCCATATCTTTTGAAATCAAACTGCAGAACACAAAGTAATTTAAAAAGGAATGGTTAGAAAATCAATTCAAATTCAATGCATTTCTTAAAAATTAAATGAAGAGGAAAAAAAAAACAGGAGCAGGAGTCATGTTACCAGGAGCAGGACAGGACAGGATTAATTTTTTTACTCTGGACCAGGATTGGGACAGGACAGGATTTTTTTCTGTTGGACCAGGACAGGACAGGAGTGAAAATCTACTCCTGTGTCATCCTCTACTCCACCATAACCCTCAGCACTGGCTCCCCTCAGGGATGTGTGCTGAGCCTTCTCCTGTTCAATCATCTCATGTATGATTGTGCACCTACCTATCCAGTCTGTCAAACTGTAAAGTTTGCAGATGATACAGCGGTGGTGGGATGCATCACAAACAACAATAAGTCCAGCTACAGGCAGGAGGTGGAACACCTGGAGAGTTAGTCCAAGGAGAATATCCTTCACATCAATGTGAAGAAGACAAAGGAGATTATCATGGACTTCAGAAGGAACAAAAACAAATACCACACATCACCACCCCCACCCTCACCCCCACCCCCACCCCGAACATAGGAGCATCTGCAGTGGAAGTGGTCTCTAGCTACAAGTACTTGGGTGTACACCTGAACAACTACCTCAGCTGGAGCAACAACACCACCAGCCTGATCAAGAAAGCTCATCAGAGACTCTACTTCCTCAGACGGCTGAGGCGAGCTGGTCTGGGAAGCTCAGTCCTCACCTCCTTCTACAGGTGTGCAGTGGAGAGCATCCTGTGCTCCAGCATCAACGTGTGGCATGGAGGCTGCACAGCTGCAGAAAGAAAAGCTTTGCAGAGAGTGGTGAAGGCTGCACAGAAGATGTTGGAGTCAGTCTCCCCACCATCACAGACATCTACACCTCCAGATGCAGGAAGAGGGCCACCTGCATCATGAAGGACCCCACTCAACCAGCACACACACTTTTTGCCCCACTTCCCTCAGGAAGGAGGTTAAGGAGCATTAAGTGTAGAACCACTAGACTGAGGAACAGCTTCTACCCTGAGGCTGTTAGACTCATGAATATCTAAACAGGATAATCACTGTGAAAAATCACATCATGTTGCTGTGTTCATGCATGCTCAAACCAACTCATGTTCATGCTGCTATTAGGCGTAATGTTTTTATTAGAGATGCACCAAGCCACTTTTTTTTTTAACTTCCGATCTGATCCCGACACCTAAATCTGGAAATCGGCTGATACCGATCCAGTTCCGATATCATCATCATCATTGTTTTTATATGAGGCTGTAATAATCTCCTCTCAAGTACACTTTGTACAAATATATGCATGCATGTCCAAAAAGGCAACTTGAGGTAAATTGTATTAATGTTGGATAAGTTTCAAATTTAGAATTAAATTCTGCTAACACAAAACATGTTTTTTCTAGCTTTAAAGTGGATTTTAAAGTGATTAATTTTAGTGATTTTTTTTTTGGTTTGAAGATATTTTATATATATTATTAAATAAGGGGCAGATATAAGATTTTTTTTTCTTCTTTCTGCACTCTTTTCTTTCAATGTTTTCTTTTTGATGAATTTGTTGTTTATTTCTGTTTCTTTTAAATGAATGAATAAATGAATTAAATAACATAAAATGTTAAATGGCTTCAAACATCTGCTAAGTTCATGGCATAAACAAACAGACATGTTCCTGTTTTTAGTTTTTTACATCACTTTATAATGTAGCTGTTTTTGTTTCTTTTTTTTAATATATATAATTTTCTTGTAATTTTCACTTCATATGTTTTTTTATGATTGTCTACTGTTGTACTGATAAATATCTCCTGGAGGGTAAACTATATTTTGGTTGCAAGTCTCAAGCTGCAAAATCCTTCGTTTTCTACAACTGATAGCAGTTTGTCATGAATCATGATGAAGTTTAACAACTTCTCTGTAAACATTTGAGCTCCGTGGCTTCAGCGATGTCTTCTTCTTGTTCAATCCGAAGCAGGCAGCCTGACTTGGGGCAGCCGCGCTCAGTCTGCCCCTCTTCAGAGACGGGCAGACTGAGCGGGGCAGATTGGATGCAGCTGGCCGGGGTCGAGTTGCCTGTTGTGGGTTGAGCAAAGAGCAGCGCCCCGCTGAAGCCACGGAGCTCGAATGTCCAATGTAAAACTAACTTTACTGCGGTTTAATGTGGTGCTATGGCTCTGCAGACATTGCACATTGTTGTCTTGTTTTGTGGTGTTTCTAGTGTAAAATACTTCCACACAGTGGACATGTTTAGATGAAAAGTTTGTTAGCTGTTAGCCACAGTGCTGCTCACTGAGTCCTCACATTGTAGCTGACTGCAAACTATGAACACGATTTCCTGAATGTGAGGCGGGTCTTATTATTCTGGGTTCATGAAACAAGCCGCCGTTCAGGAAATCCATTCCGTAGTTTGAAGCCAACTTGCATAATGGATCGTAAATCTCTGCAGGTTGTGTCGAAAAAATCCGATACCTAAATTATGCTGGTATCGGAGGCCGATACCGATACCGGATCGGCCCCATTCCTAGTTTTAATGCTTTTAGTGCTTAGTGTATATTTAGTTGATGTTTTTCTTAGTTCATATCTTAGATCTTATTAGTGTTTATCTTTTATTTTTATTGTTGAAAGTAACTGGGATCCTGTGTACATAATCTCGTTCCACCTCATGTACCACATGAGTTGTGAATGACAAATAAATCTCTCTGAATCTCTGAATCAAGCATTATCCATGTTTTGAATGTGGTTTCACCAGCAGGTTCTACCTAGACCTTACTGGTACTGCCCAAGTCATTTACCCATCATACTCTACAGTTTCCACAGAAGTTGTTGACTTCCCTCATGCTACCATTTTGACTCATTTCTGTTCAAAAGTGTTATAAATTTGAACCAATCATCTTTTTGTTTCTCTCAACTTTTCGGTTTTCTGTCACATATCAGCTCA